TATTTCGGACAGTTCTAATAATTTAGTCGAGAGAGATTAAATGAAGAAAGATTGTTTTATTCAGACACATTTAAAAAGTTGTCCGAACTAAGCTCTAGTTGTCTACGATCTCTTTTTTTGTTCTATCTATTCGAGTTTTTAATTGCAATGATGCAAAACATATTAAACTTTTTTCCCAACTAATTTATGCCTTTTTAACTAAGACATAAAACTCAAGATATGACAATCTTTATAAATAATACATAATCTTGGGCCGACTTCTCCGTATATCCAGTTTGGTGACATTGCGTAATCTGATCAATGATCCTGGCGGCCATTTTGCTTTTTTTTTTTTCAAGATACCACGCAATTAGCGTCCGGTTGAATTGAAAGAGAAATATGATGGAAGAAATGGCGGGTGTAGGGATCGGTAGCTATGGGAAATCATTATCTACACATTATACGGCTTAGATTATCAAATTAGTCCATATTATTTTTTCGCTAGTAAACCAGTGTAGAAAAATATTCGGAGGCTTAAAGTTAAATGGGCCATACATACATAACGAAGTTTTAAATTCCCATACATTTTACACTTTTCAAAATACCAATGCTAAATCAAAAGTTTTCTTTTATACTCAAATGCCACGTTGAAGCTCTATGGAAGATATTATTTACAGGCCCGTATCATTTCGATGATAAAACGTCATAATTAAAAATAGAATACTTAGGCATTCCATTTTTAATCATGAGTCTATGCTTAGACATAGCCTCGTCATTTTGTCACTACATACATACACTTCATGTAATCGAATGATAGATAGTTAGTTATGTCGACGCGATATTTCGAGTCCATTACACGCCCCCCATCACGCACAATAAGACGAAAACTACAAGTTTTCTCATAGTTAAGCCGTTAAAAACCAACGATTATACGGATTTCGTATATAGTCGTTTTATAATTGACTCGGTTCTCATAGAACAAAAACCTTTTTTGGACAATGGACGAAATTATAACAGAGTAAACCCGACCGTTAGGGAGTTTCACATACTTAAATGCTTATTGCTACTAACATGACATATGACGATTAATTATTATTGTGCCATTGTAAAAATCCGTGCGACTACATACAAAATGAGTTGAGACAGCAGGTGGTTGAGCTATTGAGACTAAGTACGTACCTAAGTGTTTATATTTGATTGCTGAGAATTTTTTTGGGAAATTTTTACTCGTACATTGTAATCTGTAGTCACCTTTAGAGTCATAGGTATTGACTTTGTTGGTAGGTACCTATAATATATAAAATTAATTTCAAATTATCGTTTATATATTTACAAGTAATAAGTCTAAGAACAGTATAATGTTAAATTATTTAACATATTATTATTTAACAGATTAGAAATCTCTTGATCCACATGTATAAAACTGGAATTATGGGTGCTGACAAAATGTCTAGTTTTAGTGATCACACCTATCTATTACAGTATTTTTTTTTAATTAAGGAACGAAATGAGAATGCATTAATTTAAATTGTTATTTATGATTTATTTTTTCTACTCTATTAAATCACAAAAGTAGTTTGGTTTTTTTCTTAGTACCTAATCAAGCCTACGTAAATCCTTATTTAGAACGTTTCGTGATTCGCAATTTGAGCAAAATGCAAATAAAATTCAAACTAAACCAGTTTATCAGGCTAGGTGGAGGTACCTACATAAAATTGTCAAATAAATTGAACCGCTAATTGTGAAAAAAAAAAGACCACTGTTATTAATCTAGCTAAAACGAATTGGCAATAAATAAATTTCTCGATTATATTATTGATCTGCGGAATTCCTAAATTAGACAACGTTCCACGACTGCTTTTTCAATTTGTAGCTAAGTAGACTTAATAACTGTACCTACTCAGCGCCTAACTTTTATGATGTGAGTAATAAAACGTCTATTAGACCAGCTAGTTGCCAGTGACAACGAACCCATGGCCGGGATGATATAATCATGGTGACAATTAAAATTCGTGTACGTGAAATTATGGAAATGCAGCTGGTGGGTTGCTCAGCTCAACTGAGGTCGCGGCATGCGCGCACCTGCTTCACTGCAATGTGGGCAATCGCCAGTGTGAACGCTTATGGTAGTTTTCGACTTTTCGGGTTAGTTTTTGGACTGAACGATTTGTAGATTGGTATTATTTTGAGACGAGTACAGTTTTTCTAAACGATTACTTATTGACTTTTTAATCTTGCATGATGCGTATTTGTTTTTTACCATAGCTTATTTCATTGTATTAAGTATTAGAATTGTTAAAACTGTTTTTAGTTGAATATCAAAACTAAAGACAGATAATTTGAATGAAATAGTGTAGGATGATGAAGCAGAAAATCCATTTTAAAAATGGAACATCTGGGCGATATACGAAAAAAAAATATATAAAAATGTAATCGATTATATCACAAATCATAACGCAATCATACACGCACCTAACAGCACTTAACGTTCCGTGCAAGCTATGACATGTTATGTCCTAGATATGCGACAGGTAGACGCCGTACTTAATCAAGATACAGAATGTTGCGCTATGCTCGATAATACAATATCTCACTGCAATCAAAGAATACTTTATATCCTTTTATAGTCTGTGACGCTTATTAAAAATTTCTTACGTAGGAACCTAGATGAACGCGATGTTTACTTGTAATCTTTGCGTCGTAGCACAGTGCGGGTGACAGCTGACATTTAAAAAGATGGAGTGAATTTTTTAGGATTGAAGTCAATCTAAAATCATAATCGAATATTTTATATAATATTTTTTCTACTTTTTCAGTGAGATGTCACTTGCATTATGCCATAAACTCGCATAGTATAGTTACAAATCGAGACCCGAACAAAAGTAGCCTTAAGTGAATTATTTGCTTTAAATTGGAAATTATTATTGCGGTTTCGAGCAGACGTGTTTCCGATGCCGCTTCCGATTGACGCTCAAATGATCACGCAAACCAACTTGTTTTATGCGATCTGAGAAAGAATAATGTGGGATGGCTCTAGGCGGTGGCAGTTTGCATGCACGTGAGCTTTTCAAAAATGGAACACGGCCATCGATATCCAGAGGTGCTTATCGAGTATGAAGTATCGAGTGGACCGATCGGTGGACAATTACATCAATGTCCGTCGATCGTCACGTAGACAGGACCGGGGGCAACTTAAACCAGTCCGGCGCGACGCGGTGGTGCGCAAAATACCGTTTTTTTTTATGGAACAACGCGACTTCATTCATAATGTATTATAGCGCCTTGAAAACACACTCGCATACACACGCATCGAGCTATAAATAAATGTAGATGATACAAGAGTTCGGTTGAGTGTGAGAAGACAGACCTGGCACAACCATTTAATTAAACCTGACTGGGAACGTTCAAAAACAATTAAGAAAAACGTAACTATTGATGGCAACGTAGGTAACTACACGAAAACATGGTGAATTCGCGATCTTATGAATCGATCCATTCCCGGCCCAGCACGCTGGCCGCACACAAACAAGTTATTAATATTTACATGTAAAATGCATTTGTGTTTGTTAATAACGGTACATTGGCGAACACATTAATACTTAAATAAGCGATCGTATGTTCTGCGCACACGCATGCATAGGATAGGTTCCCTCATTGCAAATTACCATTGGAGACCGGTAAACAACGCGGGAGAATAAAAACACACCCTACGCCCTATACTGGTGTATCGATTTTTTTTGCATCGGGGACTCGTTGACATTTCGGAAGGGGTCGTAATAGACGTAGTTATGTTTATTACCTACATCATTATCCACGATAGAATGCTAGCTAGAATGCTATAGTGATCGGAGCGTGGGTCCTAGGTACGTAACGATTGGGAAAGTAGGTATCGAAGCGATCGAGCTAGCATCGGCATTATCGATGTAGGGGTGGAGTGAATCATGTAGAGAGCGTTTATGCTATTTGAGATGTTGCTAGTGATGTACTTGTTTCAACAAATAAACACTTCGTCCCCACGATTGTCTGATTGATCGTTTATTACTACACCACATTCTTTTTTTAGTTTATTAGTTACTTTTAATGTACTAGTTGTTAAAGTAAAATTATAATAGGTAAGTATGTAAAATTATAAGTATTTATAAAAGGGTCTATACAAGAATTCATTGCATGTCGCCACTAAAGTTAATGAATATGAATTCACACGTCAACCTCTTAAAAGCAGCCCTTTTATTTGAATTAATTAATAACCTTGACCGGTTCATAGGGCAATGACCGCAAATCTAATCTCCAATAGATACCTTATGTATTACATTGGCGAATTATGTAATATTATGTTTTTAGCCCATCTAATCACGTTGCCGCCTATTCAAAAATTTTATTTACATTTTAGAGCTTTCGGTGTCTCGGAAATTAGCGACGGTCAATAAACAAGGGTTCCGTAGTGTAAACTAGACCGAACTACTAACCCTGCCCGAAATATCTCGCCTTCAGAGACGTCTGGAATGGTTATTCCTGTCGCACATGCATTCGTATCGTCGCGGATTCGCCTCTTTCAGAGTCAGCCTCGCCTCGAAGGCTTGGAATGCATCTAATTTTAAAGCGAAGAGGCTCGCGACCTAGCTGACCCCGCGCGCCGGGCGTATTAAAACCTGAACTTTCTTTATAACTATGTACCTCGTCTACCTATGTTTGTTTGCTCGGTAAACGTATTGAACACACACAGAGACGGGCGCGACTTGGAGTCGGCCGGCGAGGCTCGCGGCCGGTCACGACTTGCCGAGCTCACCTAACCTACACCCTCGCTCCGGACTATATCCAGGACAATCTGCTAATCCGAACGCCGTGCCACACTCGCTACTCGTGGGAAAGTGACGGTCGTGTAATGCAGGACGGCCTCGCGCCTACGGCCACCGGGATTGCAATGTTTATACTCGCGTATCGATGCGAACGTTTCGGCTTGGTATTGCTATGCGAAACATAAACAAACGGGGGTTCGCGCTTTTCGGTGTCGGTGTCAGTACCTGGGGTAGAAACCCTAGCAGGGCGATGAGCACCGCGGGGGCGCGCATGCTGGCGCGACCGGGCTAGCGGCGCCGGGGCATATATGTCGGGTTCCAGGCCCGGCAGTCGTCAGCACGCGGCAGAGGATCCGCAGTAATCCATCACTCGCACATGTATGCACTGAGCGTTTCACTGTTAAGTCACACAGCACAATAATCGAGGTGTCACTGGTTGCTCATCGGCTTCGGCGAACCGGTCGCGGGAGTGAACTACGTTCGAAACGCGCGCGTCGCGTGTGTCGGCGTGTTTGAGCCGTTATAACGTATATACGCGGCAACGCGTGACGGCAGACTGAGGAGGTGGCCGCGGTGCGGGCACGGCCGGCGCACCTGGTGGCGGGTGCGACGGGCCGAGAGATGGCGTTGCGCGACGCATCTGCCGGCCGACGCTCCCCGCGCGCTGCTTGCGCTCCCCTTCGCCAGCCAACCAGAAAATACACGGAAAACAGACGTCTGTGTACACGAACACGTGCCCATATGTAAAAACTTCGAAGAAGAATCGAGCGACATACTAGTTTCATTTCAAGTAGGTATCCGTAATGATGCATTTTTTGCAGCCTCGAAATACTTACATATACGACTATAAATATATGTAATTCTTAGATGTATTTATCTTATTAACTATACGGTAGGTACAAATTTAAAATAGATTAGGGAATTTTAGTATGTTAGTTATGTTTAGTAATAAATAAATAGGTATCAAATTTATTTATTTATTTAAAATTTAATTATTAAAATAGTATAGGTACATATTATCAACTTACAGAAAAATAGATCTAAATGCAGGTAGGTATAGAGGTAATATAGATAGTTCTGAGTAGGATACGTAACAAATAACTGCTTGTCTAAGTACTTAGTTACCTAACCTATCTAAAAATAAATTTTGATAAAATGTATAAACATTATAGACTTTGGAGTGTCATAAAAACACAAAAAAACATTTGACAATACAAATACAGGGGGGAAAGGGATTGTTAGTAATGGAGACTGAGAATCCTATTGCTAACAATATACCTAACCAGGTCGACCTGTCTCCCTGGAAACTATCATGGTTAATTCCTGATGAATTCATCATGATGGGCTAACTGGCCTGTTTTCATTCTCATCTATCACCCTTCACTGGTGCTCCGCCAGCGTATACCGTTAGCGCAGGCGGGGTTACCATACCATTTTCACCCATCAAAAAAAAAAATACAAATACATCAGAACATTCACACTTGAGTTATTGCGGCGTTTTAGAAATTGTCCTTATCGGGAATTGAACTGCAACTACAATTACATAAAGTACCATGTACCATACCATTACGCCATAAATATGAAGGTCCTCAAATAAATTTCTGGTTCTGAATTCGAAAACGAGTAGGTATTTTTTAATGTTTACATTTTTTTTCATCCACTACAACTACAACTTTTTATTTTGATGATTCTTTTTTAGTTTCACCAAAATACTACTGTTATTATTTATAAAATAACTTACTTACATCTATAAAATTATAAAAGGTATAACGGAACGTCCCGCGACGAGGACTGAGGTGTTGACACTATTGACATAAGAATATGGGTAAATAATATCCGGGGTTATTGGCTTATGTTACCAATAGGCATTTAGACTCGGAGCTTGTTGCATTTATTATTTGAGAAAAAAAAAATTATAAATCAACCTATCACGATTCACGATACGATTTTACATTCACGATAAGGGAAGCAAAATGTATGTATTTTTATATGATGAAAACACTTTTAAGTTGGGGGGAAAGGGATTGTTAGTAATGAGCATTACCAATCTCATTACTAGCAATGATGACAGGGTATGTCAGGTCGACCTCCGCGTGACTTCCAGGTATATTCATCACGATGGACTAACTGACCTGCCTTTCATTGTCACCTATCATCCCTCACTGGTGCCCTACCAGCGTATACCGTTAGTGCAGGCGGATTTCCATTCCATTATCATCCGTTAAAAAAATCACCTATTATTTGTGTATTGAAAATGTAGGCGGTGTTACCATTCTTTATTTTTAATCTCATTAAAAAAAAAACTTTTAATATTTGCGTGTGTTCCCGTTGTCTGCGCAAAATTAAAAAAAAAGTCTTCATAGATTAGCATACATTTTGCACTCGTATCACGATTATAATATCATACTTGAATAAAACGCTTTGATTAGCTAAATTATAAAATTGCCCATTAATTAATTTCATTACAATCAGCTGTCCGGAAATGGTATAGATTATGCAAAACGTTCAGGAGCGAAATTCGCGTGATGATGCCCAATTCACCTATGCAAATTCGGCAAAATCTTAAAAGTTATTGGCACCTGCCTCCGGTAAGAGTGGCGATAAACTTAACATTCCCCCTGGCAAGTTTAGCGATAAATATATTCATGAACAGAATTATTGTGGTGGTGAACACGATACCAGCCCCTGGGGCCATGTAATTCAGGGAGCCATGAAATGTCTATTACCTTTTATATCAATAATATGTATAACACTGATCAGGTTAAAATCAATTAAAAAAAAAACATCTATTTTTTGTAACATATCGAAGTCATAGCATATGACTTCGATATGTTACAAAGAATTGATTTTTTTATAGGAATTTTGTGGTATACCGAGAGAAATCTTAGTATGATAGAAGGCGACGATATTTCAAGTTTATTGATGTTTTTAAGCGACTTCAAAACAGGAGGATCTTTTCAATTTTTCGTAATATCTTTTTTTTATTAATTTTTTTATGTATGTTACCCGATTACTCGAAGATGACTGGATCGAATGAATTCGGAAAAAAAATATCAATGACTATGAATTAAAAACTAAATTACTGAATCGATTTTGATAAAATTCTACACGACCAATTTGAGAGCATATCATTTCAGATAAATACAACTAGATAATAATTGTCTAAATCGGTTTATAAATGACAAAGTTACGCGGTAACAAACATAAAAAAAAAACGGACGGACGCAGCGCGCCTCATCGGGATTGCTGGTGACCCGAGAGCTGGTAGCTACTTTGCCCAAAAGATAAGTTTGGCAATCCAAAGTGGTAATGCTGCCAGTATCTTGGGTACGCTGCCTCGGTGTGGTGCGTTGGGGGATTACTTATAATTAGTATTAGTATTTAAGGAATTGTATATTAACTTTAATTTATGGTTGTACTAAAAAAAAAAAACAAATAAATCAAGGACCTTATTTTTTGAAGTCGATAGAAAATCATACAGAATTATAACAAATATACATATATTTACGGTATGTAAATATTATCTCTTTTAATAAAATGTTTTAAGAAAAGAAATCATCGCTATTTAAATAGACTTGTTTACAAGATCTTTTAAATCGTCACTTTTTATGATTCTACCGCTGTGTTCGGAATGTTGTTATCTATTAATTTTAGATTTTTAAACTTACTTAATCCAATTGGACTTAGGTGAAAGAATATTTGTAAAAACACGTGTTTACGTATAACAAACAGATAGTGTTTGTCTATCTGTAATAGGTAACGTAGGGGGAAAGGGATTGTTAGTAATAAAGTTTAATAACTCCATTGCTAACAATATACCCTCTCAGGTCGACCTCTACGCGGTTTCCCCTGGAAACCATCATGGTTAATTCTTGACGAATTCATCATGGTAGGCCAACTGACCTGCTTTCATTCTCACCTATCATCCTTCACTGGTGCTCCGTCGGTGTATACCGATAGCGCGGGTGGGGTTACCATTCCATTTTCATCCATTAAAAAAAAATAGGTAACGTAAGTTTACACCTAAATCAGTTTGAATACGGAGGGCCTACCATGAAATGTTTGCCGAAATTTCGGGACCGAACTAAACATAAATTTCAGGTTAACTACATGATACATACCGTTTAAAAAAATTATGTTAAAAGAAGGAAAATTATGTTAAAAATTTTTATTGAAGTAAACTTAGATTTAGGTATTTTTGAATAGTAATTTTTTCCTTACAGCCCATTCAGAACGCAATTTCAGCCAAGAAAAATAGGCAAGAAACTCAGCTTACAAAACTGAACTGAAATATCGTATCTTTGAACTTTTATAATAGGATTTATGACAAATGAAATGTTAAGCTCCATTTACTGAACCTATCTAGGTATGAACACGAAATTGAGTTCGAAAATTTAGAATTTCATTTTATGGTAGACCCCCAGGTGTAATAATAATTAAGGTTCCTTTGAAGTGTGTACTTGTCGAGAATAGAATCTGGTTACATTGAAATACCTATTATTACACAGCTTAATGCAGTACCAGCAAACGCTAGTACCTCTACTTAGGTAGCCGTGATTGCCGTCCAGTTTTTATTGGCCGTCACAGGCCACGCCTATGCCTAATACCTATTGACTATGCTCCACATACTCTATGGCCATATTATTCAATTGTTGCTATATCGACACATATGCGAATTGAGATTCTATTGTTGTTGGATAAAGTTTACATTGGGAGTACCGTGTTTGATTATTCAAATACAAGTTTTAATGGATTATGCAAAGAAAAAGATAAAAGAGAAAACTCTTAAGTAAAATTTAATTAAGGTGATATCTATACATGATGACGATCCATGCAACTAAAAGAGAAATTTTGACCCAATTTGAAAATTTAAATTGATTTTACAATACGGGTTGAAAAGATGGATGGATATTTAAGGATACGCTTAGTAAGGACTTCAAGGGTGTTAAAAAAGCGCTTTTACGCAAATAATAATACGTCACGTATAGTAATATTTTTTTAATTATATTAGCCATTAATTGTCCACTGCTGGACATAGGCCTCCCCCATAAAGGCGTGTTACCGTAACTCTAAAACTAAGTTCCCTTAGTTGCCTCTTACGACACCAACGGGACTGAAAGGGGTGGCCCATTCAATGTCCGGACCACACAGCTATTTCATATTTTTTTTATACAACTTAGACTTAACTTACAAAAGTCGATTACTTGGGTACCTCTGTCCCATTTGTGTTTCTACGGTGAAGCAGTTGTGTTTGCATGTCTGTGTTTCCGTTTGAAGGGTGGGATATGGCGTGAATTTACAGGGTACAGAGGAATAACATCTGAGTCCTCAGGAATGGCAACGCATGGGGGGTATCATGGGCGAAACAGTATACTCTGTTATGTCCATGGTGTTGCTCATGTCTATAGGCAACGGTTACCACTTTCCATCAGGTGGGCCATCAAGTTGTTTGCCATTCAAAGTTGTATAAAAAAAAAACAATAAAATTAATTAATGAAGTTTTAATATCAATTCTCAATAATTATATTGATGTAAACATTATTTTTCTATGTAACATAAAAAAGGAGCTAGATAAGATG